GCTGGACATTCTCAAGTGGCCATCAGAGACATTTCAATCTGATATTTTCTCTGAAATGGTTTGTGAAAGACACACAACGGGAAAACTGAGTGCGCGCAACGTTAGCCAGATTCTAGCTGTCTTTCTTTTGCGATGAAAGTAGTGACAGCTCTTTTCTTCCTTATTTCGAGGTACATTCAAATTAAATAGCTTAATGAAAAAGACAAAAAAAATGTAGGAGGACCTGGTTCTATCTATTGGTTGTTGATTGGAAGCAGGCAGATCTGAATGTACGCTTGCAGACGATTGTGAAAATGGTGGGGTTTATTTGGACAATCAATTAAATGATTGGAGAAGTCCGACATCTGTCACCAGAGAGAAGTGTGACATTTTCACCTGGAGGATTGAGTTAGGACATTTTGATTAAGAATTACGAGTTGAATAAAAAAAAAGAAAAAAGGGATGTCTCACTAAAGGAGGTCTCATTTCAGAAGCAATTAAAAATGTGTGAAGAACACCTCACTTGCTCCTTTTCCGTTCTCACACTTTCTCTTTTCAAGTTTTTGTCTTTTGTAATTTTCTGTTACTATCTTAAGGTACGGTGGCACTTTGACATTAGACACTGTATCATCTCACTCCGCTCTGTGGGATGGATGGATTAATGAATGGTTGCTGGGTAGAACAGGAGGCATGAGGCAGGAATGTGTTAATTATGAATGGAGCTTCTCTTGTGGCTTACTAGAGTCTCATTGGAGAAACACTGTGTTTGTATGCATGTGTGCCCTTCTGAGTGTGTGTGTGTGTGTGTGTGTGCGTGTGTTGGCATGCATGCATGTTTAACTCATTGCGCTCAGAGTGACCATGCAGAAAATCTGTGTTAGTGAACACATTACTGTTATCGCAAAATGGCAATGGATAATAGACACAAGAGCCAAAGGCACGTCAATGCTATATGTTTGTTCCATATATTTAGCCTACTATATGCATCTATATATTTGATTCATTGTTTTTGGTCTTTTTGTTTGGTCTGATTTTTTTTTACAGTTACAGTTATATGCACTTTAACAGAATTAATTTGTGTGTATACAATATATAGTGATTGTGTGCAAATCATTCAGCGCTAACTAGCTAACAAAGCTAAAGCTGCATAGGAAAGAAAAATTACAAATGAGATCTCTTAAATCTCAGTTGTTCCCCATAGACAGCAATGAGATTAAATGGAGAAGAAATTAAGAGTTCAGATGCTAAAACCTCTAACCCTGTTGAAAAAAACAGCATATGCGGGATAGGTATGTTTTGACACTGGGATGCTGGTTTAAGCTGGTCCTTTGCTGGTTTATGCTAGTCCTTTGCTGGTTTAAACTGGTCCTTTGCTGGTTTAAACTGGTCCTTTGCTGGTTTATGCTGGTCCTTTGCCAGCACATGCCCAGCATAAACCAGCAAAGGGCCAGTTTAAACCAGCAAAGGACCAGC